CGAGAGGAGAAATCCGAGGAAAGGGATTTCTGTTGCTAGGCAACGTCTGTCGTCCGATTCGGATCTCCGAGACGGATGAATAATAAAACGCATGATAAAACCACTCGTTTATTTATCTGCTAAAACACATTCAATAACATTTAATTTCCTTCAAGCAAAGCCTGCTGGGAACTAGAAATCGGCTGTAGCTGCAACAGTTTGAGTTCTGCTTATAATCAGTCATTGAGTTCATGTTACTTCGTCTATTAAGTGCAATGACCTCATTTCAGACTCGTAGATTTGATATATTGCAGTGAGCAATTCATATAAGAAAAAATTAACAAATGAATGTGGTCAAACTTTAGTTTAGGGTCCAATTCTCACTATTGTATTAATGACTTTTGCCTAAATTAGCTCCTAATTACTGCTTATTAATAGTTAGTTGTTAAGTTTAGGTATTAGAATATGATCATGCAGAAAAAGAGATTAATATGAGCTTTATAAACAGCCAACATAATATGCATGCTAATGAACAACTAGTTAATGGTGAGAATTAGACCCTAAAATATTGTCATTCGTTTAATTTAAAAAGAGTGTTTATGCTGCAGGACCATTAAAACTTAAAAGACAACACAATTGTGATTACAGCATGTAAAACCATCCATTTTCCCTCATACAATACATTTTAACATAAAAAAGGTTCAATAATTTCTATACAAAATCTAAACCCCATTCTTGAACCCTAAAAAGATCCCATGGATACATGTCTAAAATTATTGCATTATACTTTTATTTCTTTTCTTTTTTTCTTGAGATAAAGCATAAGCTGTTTAATTCATAATATTTAATTAAAATAGAGTAAAAACAATCATTAATTAAAGCTAAATCCATAAAATTATGATTCTTGATTTCAAATGTCCATGTCAACTGTTGAGTATATTCATAATAACTGCATATTTGTGATTTATTATATATTGAGATTTGTATATATTCTGTTTTGCTAGAATTATTTCCTTCATAACCCGTTCTAGTGCAGATGAGGTCTAAAGAGAAGATGTATTGAATAATGCACGCTCTCCCACACACACACACACACACACTTCAGGGTTGTGAGCTTGTCCAAGTTGCATTACTGCGTGACCGGGAGTCAGACTCTGAAACACAAAGACATTGTGAGCAGTCTCTCTGTTTAACCCCAACACATTCCTTCACACATGCCATAACCAAACCACTTCAGTGGCACAGATCACGTGACTCCAGTTATTCAGCGAACTTTTCCAGGTTATGTGAAAAACACAAGAAAAGGCCTCTTTCTTCATTATTTAGGTCAGGGTTATGAGAGTCGACTGCAGAACTCATAAACAGCTGTTGTGTGTCTCTTACTCAGAACAGAGCTTTACTGCATTTACATGACAAAATCCATATTAGAGGGTTATGCGTTTTTACATGTGCATCTTTCTTTACTGTGTAATGTTGCTGTGTGAGCGTGAAAAAGCTCTGCAAAGTTATAAAGCACACAGTTCTTCTCTATATCTACAGTATATAACTCTCTGAAACGCCTCCATTGTAGACTTGAGTTTCTTGAATGAAAACGTCACAATATTCCTCATTTAAATAATACATATGCATAATAAAGGGGCGGGGCCTGGATGAGTTAGTTAGTAGCCCTCAATCGGGTCAATCGAATTTTACTTAATAAATAAAAAGGTTCCCTTCATTTCAGTGGAATAAGATTCTGTGACTTTTCTTACATTATCTATCTATACACACACACACACACACACACACACACACACACACACACACACACACACAAAAACTGGGCTTGATTCGGTTGTTCTGAAGGTATGTAAAATAATGTTTACACTTCTGGTCTTCGGGGTATGACCCCACATTGAAATGGGAAATGTGAAAAAAAAAAAAAAACTAAATATATTTTCTTCATGTGTCAAAAAAAAAAAAATCTGGCATAAATCTGAAAATTTTTACGCTGAAATGAAGAGCATAAATGCAATGTATCATAAAAAAAAAAAATATTTCATAATATGCAAGCTAATGGTGTAGTTGAGGAATTGTGTGGTATATGGACACAAAAGTACTTTATATCACCAAAAACACAGCATTAATGAATAGATGAGAAGTAAACAAAAAAAATGATATATTATTTGTATGATTAAAAATGTATATTTTTTGTACAATTACTCAATCAATTGTTGGGGTCGTATATAGACCCGAAGCCCAGAAGTGTAAACAGGAAACCAAGACCATTTGAAGGTTAAATTGGTCGTTATGGAAAGGGGCGGGACATTTCCCAAACACACACAAAGCGCTCGGCCAATAACAACATACTGCACCAGCCGACCAATCAGAGCACAGTGTGCTTTTCAGAAGGAGGGGCTTCATAGTAGTAGCATTGTTTGCTAACTATAGTCGCAAGTTCCGTTGTTAGTTTGAGTTTTTCCCGAAACCATCGTTCTAACGAACATTCGCAAACTTGTGTGTTTGGAACGACACATGAAGCAGTTTCTTGTTTGCATGACATCAATAAATCCTTATCATGAGCAAAATAAGGAATAATAAAAATATCTTTTATTTAGAACATGCAATTTACGTCCGAGTTTGTCAAGAGAGTTTGTCGAGTCTTTGATTGAATCTGGAAATAAAGTGAAAAAACTGAGAAAAATAGAAATATTCCTCAGATGCCAATGTCTGTAATTTACAGCAAAGCATCTAGCATTAATTTCATCTCGAACAATTTTATTAAAATAAGTTATTACAACGCGATTTTATGGCAATTCGTACGAATTTTACGAGGTGGCTAATTCGTACGACCTCACTCGTACGATTTTGGCTAAATCGAACATATTTTACGAATTGGCCAATTCGTAGGAATGACCTACCCCTGACCCCGCCCCTAAACCTACCCCTCACGTGGGTTTAGACAAATCGTACGAATTCGTACGCGTGAGGTGTATGAATTAGCCCCTTTTTAATCACTCGTACACTGTAAAAAAATATTTTCAAGATTTGTTATCACAACATATTTTCTTTTGTCAAATCAACTTTATAATAATTGATTTAGTTGAGATAACTTATTATTTTGAGTTTTCTGATGATTCAATTAATCTCCTTCATTGCATTAACTCACTTTTTCCAGTTCAATCAACTTAAAATTTTAAGGCAACCAGGTTACTTACAGTACTTTTTTAAGTTAAACCAACAATATTTTTTTACAGTGTACAAATTGGTCGTGAGATAGCGTTGGTTAATAACGTCATAAACCAACGTGGTTGACCAGTACGGTTTCGGGAAATAGTCGTGACTATAGTTGATTTCTTCAACGATGCATCGTACTATAGTAGTGAAACACACTCGACAGCGTTACTGACAGACTGGGAAGAGAGGAGCTGCAACAACAGAGAATATGGGGAAAATAAAGCATGAAAACCTGTTTTAGTATGTTTTAGCATTACATGTCCTCTTTAATAATATCTGATTTAACTTTCCCAGACAGAGTCAGTTTTGTTAAACACAATAACCAACTCCAACTAAGTTGATGTGAGTTAAGATTCAGAACAGAGGTCTATTGATTCAGCCAAAGACAGATGAAGGTCGGTTCGGTCAGTCGCTCTCACTCCTATTCAAAGACTTCAGGATCAACAATCAAATATTTAACTAAGGCTTTTGTGATGAAGTATTGATTGATGCCAGCTTCTAATCCGCCTAGGCTTAATCTAAAAGTGTAGTCTCATCTGCGGCTGGAATCAAATCCATTGCGGTTCACGCCAAACAGAAAAAGCTTTCTAGATTGCATGCCACAATTCAATGCCTGAGCCATATCTATGCAAAGAGCTGTGTAAGAAGCTTACAGCGTCTTCAAGTGGACATTCGATTTATTCGGCTGCCCTAATATAGAATAATCCAACAATGAACCGGACTAAGAAGTAATGTGCATTATGAAACTTAGGCCAAGAAACAGACTTTGCATAAACACACTCGTGCACTTTGCAAGAGGAAACCCACAAGAGTGACCGCTTGAACTTCAAGAGGAAAACATTGGTTTTCCTCCACATGCTCTTCATAGTTAATATGCTGTTTTGACTAAAACACTTCCTTGTTCATCGGCACTTTCCACGAATATGAAAACTGAAGTAAATAGCAACCAGAACACGTTGAAATGTCAACCTCAGTAGTTATAACGACCAATTATGTGTGCAGTTTTTATTTAATATTTAATTTTTACAAACATGTTACCAACTTTTGGGACCGATTTGAGTGATTTTATCTAGCATTTTATTGCAATTAATATCAAAATAAAGACTTAAACATGTATTAAACAAAATATTGGTTTATTGATTGCTAATAAATTTATATTGCCCATAAATTAAATAAATAATTAAATTAAATTATTAAGTTGAAATTATGAATTTAGTTGTTAGATACAGTCAAAAACCGTGCAATCCATGCATTTGATGAAGTGTTTTACTCTTTTTAAAGCTTTTAGTTCTGCCTTTTATGAAAGATGGCATGATGGAAAAAACATGTACGCAGGTGAATCTCAAAAAAAGTTAATTTTTTTCAGTGATTCAACTTAAAATGTTAAACTAATATAGACTCATTACATGCAAAGTGAGATATTTCAAGAATGTATTTGTTATAATTTTGATGATTATTGTTTACAGCTTATGAAAACCTTTGAAAACAATATTCTAATGTTGAATTTGGGGTTTTCATAATCCATAATCATCAAAATTATAACAAATAAAGGCTTGAAATATCTCACTCTGCATGTAATGAGTCTATATAATATATTAGTTTCACTTTTTACGTTGAATTACTGAAATAAATGAACTTTTGCATGATATTCAAATTTTTCGAGTTTCACCGGTATACAATATAAACAGAAGAAACCGGCTCAATAGGGCTGACATTACATTAAATACATTAAATCTCATGATATTAAAATGGCATGGTAGATGCAAACTAGAATCTGTGCCAGAAAGTGAACAAACAACAGGAAAAAAGGGGAATTAGACAATCAGTTTATTAAGCAATCAAATGAAAATATTCACTGTATTGCACAGTGTAGAACAAATGAAAAAAAAAAAAACAGGTTGTACAGTGTAATTATTTTACATCTTCATTCACACTTGTTGCATATTACCTTACTTGTGTAGCATATAATGTGTAATTATCAGCAATTGAAAAGAAAATGCCATAAAATAAAACCCTTATTTAATTTCATAACTTGAAAGTGACTGGTTGACTAGAAAGACTAGCTAAAAAAAACAACGCATTATTCAAGAAGGTTATGAACGGAGTTATCATTCAAATGTCGTGCACATCGATACTGAGAACTTACGCTCCATATATTAATGATGGGAAGCTCTCATGTACACAGAAATACACACACACACACACACCTGAACAATCCCTTAAGTCATTCATTCAAGTTTTAATCATTTTTCAAGTTTTTGCAATTAAAGTTTTTTTGCCGTCTAAACAAATGTGGTCCACGAGTCATTCATAAAACAAATAAAAATGACATAAAATATGTAGAAAAATATTCCATTGAATAGTAAACCTACAGTAAACTCCAGAAAAGGCTGCTTTGGTCACTTTACTTCAGTGCAGTCGGGTGCCATTCAGAGGTTCGACCAATGAAAAGGCTCAGCCCAGACCCACGTCCAATGACATCATCACGACAAAGCCAAGAATGGACGTCCACGAGGCCAGCTTACCGTTCCCACTGTAAGCATACACACACACTTATAATTACATTATATATATATATATATATATATATATATATATATATATATATTATATTACATAATATATATTATATATATATATATATATATATATATTGTATATAATATATTATATTACATAATATATTATAAATATATATATATATATATATATATAAAAGCACACTGTATTATTTTTTCACAAAAAAAAAAAAGAAAAAGAAAAAGGCATTCAGTAAGTCTGAGCTAGTGTCAGAGCTATCAAAATAAAAGTCCCGCTTCAGAATCATATTGACTAAATAGAAAAAGTCAATGTCAATAATTAAAAAAATGGCAAACGGTCCACTGATATCCAAGCCTCTTTAAAGGTGCACTGTGTAATATTTAGGAGGATGAAATGCAATATCATACACATAATGTTTTCACTGGTGTATAAAGACCTTACATTATGAACCGTTATGTATTTATAACCTTAGTAAGAGCCATTTCTATCCACAGTACACACACCGCGGGGAGGGAGCTACATCAACATGTTTCTACGGTGGCCCTAAAGAGACAAACGCGTTTCGTCACTTTTATTTTTTGTGCAAAGAAGCAAGCTAAAGTCAGCGAATAAAACACTGACACAATGATGAACACGTAACAATAATATTCGCAATAAAAAAGTTTTACTGAATAATTAAGTAAACCTAATTTCTTAATTTATCTTTGTAATATAATGAATCCTCATTGCTTAACTGGCTACTCTGCTGTCTACATCACTTCCTGTCGGCCACCGTAACTGCTTTTGTTTGCAATCCGCAACATCACCACTAGATGCTGCTAAATATTACACACTGTACCTTTACTTCATTATTATCATATGAACATCTGCAGACCATGTCTTCCAGTAAACACTTTTACCTGACTTGAGCTTCAGGAATGATGTCATCCACCACCACATACACCATGGCTCCTGCAGCGAAGGCGAGAGCATAGGGTAGCAACGGCTCCGCCATCACCACGGCAACGGCCCCTAACAACCCCGCCAGAGGCTCCACCATCCCACTCAGCTGCCCGTACCTGAGACACAGACCGGCCCGTTACACTGCTCACGACTCAATCCCAGAAATCAGAGAGGGCTAAAGACGTACATGTATTAGGAAGATATTCAGTCCCTCCAGGATTTCACGATTTTTTTTTTGTGATTTTTGCGATCAAAATGACTGATTTTGTGGTGGTAATTTCCAAAAATTTGTGAAAAAAAATTGCGATTTCTATATGACATTTACCATAATAGTATTCAGTCCTTCCAGAAAAACGCGGAGTTTTTTTGTGATTGTTGCGGGCAAAAATTGATTGATTACGCGGCCCGTTTTCTTTAAAAATGCGATGGAATATGCGGGATATTTATGCAATTTTATGCGACGAAATTGCAGGAATTTGCAAAAATTGCGGTTTGATGAAAAAGAGAAAAAAAGTGATTCCCCCAACATCCTGTTCTCACTAGACTAATGTAAGAGTCATTTCTTATTACTTCCTTTGATAAGCAAGCATACTACATCATAGAAAGTGCTGGGAATATTTAATTTCTCATCTTGTTTTATTTCAGACTGTAACGAGTGTAAATAAGGTGTGGCCCCTTTAAGAGCTGCGCGCTCCCTGTTGAACTCTCTGCAGTGTTATATGTGCGCCTCGAACACCCCATGTGTGCGGGTAATTTCTGTTTGATGCTACTTCTTTTATCTTATGTTGTTTATTAAGTAACGACGTGACGGTAGAACGTGTGACAGACAGTTATACGAGTTCGATTTGTGAGATCAATCGCCTCCGTGAGTCTGTCTGGCGTCGCGTAATTGCGTCACTTCATAACGTTCCCATGGAAACAGGGGGAAATGGCTGCTCTTGTGTGAAGCAAACGCAACGTTTTTCAACTTTCTGCTAAGATACATGTGACTTTTTTTGCAACGAAAAAAAAAGCATATTTTGCACGGAAATCGGCAATTTATGCGGCGAAAGTGCGGCGTATTTGAAAAAATGCGCCCCCCGCATAAATATGCGGACTTTGGCTGATTTTGCATTGAATTCAGCGATCGCATAATCGCGTTTTTCTGGAGGGACTGGCTATTAAAGGGATGCTTCAGGATTTAGCATTGAGCTTTGTATTAGTAGGAAACCTGTAGTATTTTCGAATTACCGTGCTTTCCACCCTCATATCCCCCTGAGACGAGAGATTTATGTATTTTTTGTCTGGAAAATCGTCATTTTGCATCATCGGAAGATGTTTTGTCCAGAGGCTAAAGACTACAGTCAGTAGTCGGGTCTGTCCCGCATGTCCTCAACCTGCCCATAGAGGGCGATCTCACGCACAGAATGAACACATATTGTCGGCCATCTTGTTTTTTGGAAGCTAAGCTAGCAGGCAAAGCTGAGTAGTCAGGGTTACCATCCTCTTTTTCCCGGACATGTCCGGCCATCAATGTCCGGGATTCAGCTTTTGCTTTCTGCAGTCGCCATTCATTGTTTCCATGCACAGTTTTCGTTTCAATCTAACTGAATTCATTGCGATTGGTGAATCTGAATGTCGTGTTTACATGAACGCTAAACAAGTGATCGGTTGATGTGCGTTTCAACATTGCTAAGAAAATCGAGTGACGAGTGAGGTTTAACTACTTTCTCGCCACTACTGCGCTCTGTTACAGGTAGGCGTGGCCTCAAAAGTGCATTCTGGGAGTTGTTGTCTTTCATCCACATAAGACAAAAATACATTTTTTTAAGCTTTTCTCAGTCTAGAAAGCTCCAAATTCAAAAATAATTTCACAATTTCTTCTTCATAAATGACCCATTTTAAATAGACATTCATCTTTCCAGAGGTGAAGTATCCCTTTAAGACTATCAGATCTTAAGAAATGTTTGTGATTGTGCCATTGTCTTGACTCACCAAAAGGATCTCCATGTGGACACCCCAGAACCCCGCAATGGGAGACTCACTGCGAGGCCTTCTGGGAAATTCTGAATGCCAATGCCAATAGCCAGATTTCTGAAAGAAACAGACATTATCACTACATCAGTTCTCAACAGATCTGGTGTTGCATTGCAGCAAACTGTTCCAAGTGGTTCTGACACTCTGTAACTTCTCAACTCTCTTAACTTCACACATTATCTCAGCGAGAGTTTCACAGCGAAGAGTGAGCCAAGGCTGAGCCTCTGCTGTTGACTAAAGCTCTCCGCTTCAGTCAGATCAAGGCTTTCTGAAGTGCAACATTTGGGTGTGCCGTACCACAAGAACTCCAGAAAAAACGGGTTATGGATGGGGCATGAACTACATCTGGAATCACACTGTTGTGTTTGGATAATCCTTTATGAAACTTTCTCGCAAACCCGTGAGACAAGCCTTCAAATTGACACATTTAAAATGCTCTTTGTCCACACTAGTGTTTTCCAAAATTAAATATCAGAATGCTTAAATCATCTTACTGCACATGCATAACATGTAAAGACTTGTCAGCTAACTCTCATTGGGGTATTTGCAGATTAGCGTTAGTTGTAAGGGTTCAAGGGTAGTAGAATAAGTTGACATGTAGTTGCAAAGTTACTTATAGTCAGTAGAATGTCTGCTGGGGAGCATCAAAATAACGTGTTAGTTGTTTACCTGTATGAAGCTGAACACAAAAGAAGATATTTTGAAGAATGTCGGTATGCGTTATTCACATCCTTGCACACCGAAATTCTCGTCCGAAATTTTCACACGTTAAAAAATAAATACGACCTCACGTTGTGTCAATCATGTTTACACACTGCCTCCGAAACTTCCGTCTGTCATAAACAAATTCAGATCGGGTTCGATTTTCTGCGATTTTTGCATCCGTAGTGAGTATTTTGAGAGGTGTTTTGACAAATCAGAGCCACTGAATTTTTTAAATAACGAAAAACGCATTTTAATAAATATTTTCGGATTCAGTGTGCAGGAAACCAATCCGATCTCAGCAATTCCTACGAATTTTTACGAGGTGGCTAATTCGCACAAATTCATACTACCTCACTCGTACAAATTCGTAAGATTTTAGCAAAATCGCACATAGTCCAAAATTCTTGGCTGAAATATTCACACGTTAAAAATTAAATACGACCTCACGTTGTGTCAATCACGTTTACACATTGCCTCCGAAACTTCTATCTATCATAAACAAATTCAGATCGGGTTTGATTTTCTGCGTTTTTCGCATCCGTAGCGAGTACTTTGAGAGGTGTTTTGACAAATCAGAGCCACTGAATTTTTAAGATGACGAAAAACGAATTTTAATAAATATTTTCGGACTCCGTGTGCAGGAAACCAATCCGATCTCACAGCAATTCCTACAAATTTTACGAGGTGGCTAATTCATACAAATTCATATTACCTCACTCGTACGAATTTGTAAGATTTTAGCAAAATCGCACATAGTCCAAAATTCTTGGCCGAAATGTTCACACGTTAAAAATTAAATACGACCTCACGTTGTGTCAATCACGTTTACACATTGCCTCCGAAACTTCTATCTATCATAAACAAATTCAGATCGGGTTCGATTTTCTGCGTTTTTCGCATCCGTAGCGATTACTTTGAGAAGTGTTTTGACAAATCAGAGCCACTGAATTTTTAAGATGACGAAAAACGCATTTTGATAAAAAAAATTCCAGATTCAGTGTGCAGGAAACCACTCCGATCTCACAGCAATTCCTACGAATTTTACGAGGTGGCTAATTCGTACAAATTCATACAACCTCATTTGTACGATTTTTGCAAAATCGTACATAGTCCAAAATTCTCGTCCAAAAAGTTCACACATTAAAAAATAAATACGACCTCACGTTGTGTCAATCATGTTTACACACTGCCTCCTAAACTTTCGTCTGTCATAAACAAATTCACATCGGGTTTGATTTTCTGCGTTTTTCGCATGCGTAGCGAGTATTTTGAGAGGTGTTTTGACAAATCAGAGCCACTGAATTTTTACGATGACGAAAAACGCATTTTGAGAAATATTTTCGGATTCAGTGTGCAGGAAACTAATCCGATCTCAGCAATTCCTACGAATTTTACGAGGTGGCTAATTCGTACGAATTCATACAACCTCACTCGTACGAATTCGTAAGATTTTTGCAAAATCGTACATAGTACGAAATTCTCATCCGAAATATTCACACGTTAAACATTAAATACGACCTCACGTTGTATAAATCACGTTTACAAACTGCCTCCGAAACTTTTGTCTGTCATAAACAAATTCAGATCAGGTTCGATTTTCTGCATTTTTCGCATCCGTAGCGAGTATTTTGAGAAGTGTTTTGACAAATTAGAACTACTGAATTCGAATACGAAATTCAGTTGAAACAACCCAGAATACAAAAAAAATTTAGTGTGCAGTGTGCAAGGAACCAATCCAATCTCACAGCAATTCGTACGAATTTTACGAGGTGGCTAATCATGCAACCTCACTCATACGAATTTGTAAGTTTTTTGCTAAATCGTACATATTTTACGAGTTGCCCAATTCGTATGAATTTGTACGAATGACCCCTGACCCCGCCTCTAAACCTACAGGAGGATGACTTCGGTTCTCTCTGAGAGTTGTGTGAAGTCAGTGTGAGTGTGTTTCTCTGAGGGTGGTCTGATAAGCAGATCTGTTTGTTGGCCTAGACTTCTCCACACCGTAATGGAAGTTCCCGGAACCGAAGCAAGAAATGCGGCTCTGTTTTGAGTTCCCCTCTTCACCAGCCCAACACTCCTTCACTGCCTTCCTCCATCTCTCCTGCTGGCACGAGCTCAAGCGTCGGCCCCAGAGAAGTCAGATTAATGACAGCTAGTCACGGAAAGGCTTACAGCACCCGTATGATGAAGGAGAGTTCAAGTGAAAGACACCACAGAACGGATGCTGATGCCAACATAATGCACTTGAATGAGGACTAGGACAGTCAAGCTACGAAATGATAATAAAGATTATTAAACTTCTTCCAAGTTAAATGCTTGAAATTTTGGTCTGTTTTGGTCAATTCATAAGTATTTTACATGAATTTGTATATGATCTGCTTACGCAACAGTGACGGTTAGTTTGACCTTTATGAGGATTTTTTTTTTTTAAATCTTACATTTTTCTATGATGTCAGAGATTTTGGGGAAGACAAAACGTAAGTGAAAGACAGAAGAGAATGGATCCAAACTCATATATTTTTATTACTTCCATGCAACACAAAATGTGAATTTATTTATTTTTTTGAAGAAAACTGACTGCCACGTCAGTCACATAAATATGTACTTTTTGGGTGACAATTTATTTTAACATTTTTATTGTATTACTATTATTTAGTTTGATAATATTTTTATATTTGTAGGGTATTTTATGCCACTAAATTATATTTATGCAGTAGTAGTCACTTTTTGAGCCTGGACTTGAAAATTTAATCGGCAACTTAAACTCATAAATCGTAAATGTTTTGGAGCAATCTTTTTAAAGAGATATAATATTTTAAAAAAACCCACAAGCATTAACTATATTCACAAATTTAAGCCTTTATTTCTTTTTAAAGAGATATAATATAAAAAAACCCACAAGCATTAACTATATTCACAAATTTAAGCCTTTATTTCTTTTTAAAGAGATATAATATAAAAAAAAAAAACACAAGCATTAACTATATTCACAAATTTAAGCCTTTATCTCTTTTTGAGAAATATAAGTTCAGTCAAGTGTGCACGCTTTGACTGGTAGTAGTGCAGATTTTCAATAAACATTGCGAGGTTGAATATTTTATTTTGAAAATGAATGAATAGCTCATTCTATAAGATGCGTTTAGGAAATAAACAGGGTGAATTTCCATTTGATGGAAGAGGAAGAGAAATGAAGAAAGGATGAGACATGAGACGTTGTGGTGTGGCATAATGAAAGGTTTGGGAGAAGGGCGAAGTGAACTCGTTCACACAGTGTGGAAACAACAGCCCTTCTCAGCGTTTCAGAAACATGTTTTCCCATCCCCAGGAATTCTCCTCTGGCATATTTCACTCCTCTGAGGCAGGTCTATTTCTGTGTGTGAAGAGTGTGTATTCACCTCAGAGGACAGGCTTCAGTAAACCACAAGCTCTCCGCACCGAAACAGGGTGGAGATCTCACGGCGCACAATGCCATTCCAACACTTCCCTTTCTTAGCGTATACACAAGCTTAAAAGTAACGTAAAACCAAAGTGGGATTCGTGGGATTAGCGATACAGTGTGATGTCTGTATTAAAACAAACCCCAAAAAGAAAAAGCAAAACATAAAGGGAAGCATTCCAACGTTATTGCAAAAGCATGAGGAAGCCTCCATTGAGAAGGGAAGACAGTGGGTCCAGTGTCTGACCACAGAGCTCCTCTCTGGGCACAAAGGGCCTCTGGTGCCCCCCCCTCATCATGGGGGTCTGCCCTGAATGGGCATCTGTGTGTTGGGAAGAGCATGGGGATCTGGGCGAAATGAGGGAAAATCCCCAAAACCATCTGCACCAATCACTGTGGCTTTCCGGTGACCTTTGACCCCAGTACCCAGCGTATACCCGCTGCTTCTTTCTCGCGTGCTAAAACATTTTATTACACACTCTTAACTGCCTGTTTTTACACATTTAATGACGTTTCAATGAAAATTATAATAAGGGGACAAAAGTTTGGAAACATTACTGTTTTTTTATGTGTTTGAAAGAAGTCTCATACTCATCAAGCCTGCATTTATTTGCTCAAAAATGCAATTATTGTGAAATATTATTATAATTTATTTTAGTGAACAAAGTTGAATTGCATCTGCTATTACTCCGGTCTCCAGTGTCACATGATCCTTCAGAAATCATTATTTTAAAATGTAATAATAATTCAAAATATTAGTTTTTTTTTTCCTTTTTGATTAAAAAAACATTAAAAACAGTAATGTTTCCAAACTTTTGACTAGTAAATGTATATATTTATTATCAAATTAACAAAGCATTAAATATTAAATAATTTAAGCTTAACAAAAGATTAAAAAGTAGTAAAAAAAAAA